GATGAGGTCTACAAGATTAGATAGTGTCTTAAGCCAATCTCTTTTGAGATATAAAAGAGAGAAGCGAGCAGAGACACATGGGAGCCTCATACCACCAAGAAGCAGTGCCAGGAGAAAAGCCCGTCCTTTGGACCTGAGATTCCTGTACTGAGACACTCCCAGACCAAGGGAAGACTGATGACAAGGACCTTCCTCTGGAGCCAACAGAGAGAAGTCCTTTCTCTGGAGCTAATGCCCTGACTTTGGACTTGTAGCCTACTAGACTGTGAGAGAATAAATTTCTCTTTGTTAAAGCCATCCACTTGTGGTATCTCTGTTATAGCAGCACCAGATGACTAAGACAGTTGGGATTTTGTATTCAGTATTAGTTTAGTATTTCATAATTTAATGTAAATTATTATTAACATACAAAGCATTAGTCTGCTTTGTATTCACCTGTTTATACAACTCATGTTTATTTTATTCATGAAAACAAGTAATCATTAATTTAAAAAGACTTCCAGAAAGGTTTAACCAAATTGAACTTTTATTTTCCGAGATATTTAAGTATATATGGGGATTAGGTGAGAGGAAATACCACAAGTTACCCAATATGAGTATAAGAAAACTTCTGAGTCCTAGCTCTGTCATAATCCCACAAAGAAGGGTGGAAGAGTCAGGGAGGCTTCATCCTCCAGGGAAGGATCCTGGCCCCTTTCTATTTCTCTCTCTCTCTCTCTTTTTTTTTTTTTTTTTTAACTGCAAGCGTGAGAACAGCCTTTTATATTGAGAATCAAGAGTCAAGTCTCAGGTGCCAAACCCTGGTGGCATAGTGGTTAAAAGTTCAGCTGTTAACCAAAAGGTCGTCAGTTTGAATCCACCAACCACTCCTTGGAAACCCTATGGGGCAGTTTTACTCTCAAATCAACTCGACAGCAGTGGGTTTGGTTTTTGGTTTTGTATACAAGGAGTTAGTTGTCTAGGAATGTCAACTTTAGCACCTGGAAACCTTATAAGAAGTCAGATCCAGGTTGCAGAAAAAGGGAAGTTCTGGTCCTTGGGAAGCTAAATTTGGCTGTAGCCCCTCCCTTGGGGGAAGGAGATGCTTCCTGTCCTAGCTAGCTCACTACCAGACAACCTGAATTTCCCAGTTCATTCTGCTTATCTTTCTACAGTGTAGCTCTTTCCAGATGCGGAGGTATTGGATGATACTTCGTGGCCTCTTCCAATTTAGCAATTACAAATTACAGATGATCTTCCAAACTGGGCTGTTTACCTCCTTGCTTCTCCCATTCACATCTGGCAGACCCTCACATCATTGTCTCCCAGACACTCTGGTTGTGGGCAGAGAATATGTCACTGGTACCAGAAGAAGCCCAGCTGGAAGCCCAGAGCAGAAAATGAATGCACTTTCTCCAAAGCTGCTCTCCCTTCCTCAGCCACACCCGCAGAGTTCCCAGGCACTCATTAACATAAGACTTGAACTAGAG